AATAAATGGGACCTCCTGAAACTGAGAAGTTTCTGTAAAGCAAAGGACACGGTCAACAAGACAAAAAGGAAACCTACAGAATGGGAAAAGATCTTCACTAATCCCACATCAGACAGAGGTCTGATCTCCAAAATATACAAAGAACTCAAGAAATTGGTCATCAAAAAAACAAATAATTCAATAAAAAAAAAATGGAGTACAGACCTAAACAGAGAACTCTCAACAGATGAGTCGCAAATGGCTGAAAGACACTTAAGGAAATGCTCAACATCCTTAGCTATCAGAGAAATGCAAATCAAAACAACTCTGAGATTCCATCTTAAACCTGTCAGAACGGCCAAGATCAAAAAAACTGATGACAACTTATGCTGGAGAGGATGTGGGGTAAAGGGAACACTTCAGCATTGCTGGTGGGAATGCAAACTGGTGCAGCCACTTTGGATATCAGTATGGCGATTTCTCAGAAAATTAGGAAATAACCTTCCTCAAGATCCAGCAATACCACTTTTGGGTATATACCCAAAGGATGTTCAACCATACTACAAGGACATGTGCTCAACTATGTTCATAGCAGCATTATTTGTCATAGCTAAAAGCTGGAAAAAAACCTAAATGCCCCTCGACAGAAGAATGGATAAGGAAAATGTGGCACATTTACACAATGGAGTACTACACAGTGGAAAAAAATAATGACATCTTGAAATTTGCAGGCAAATGGATGGATCTAGAAAATATCATATTGAGTAAGGTAACTAAGACCCAGAAAAATAAATATAATATGTACTCATTCATAAGTGGCTTTTAGACATAAAGCAAAGAAAAACCAATCTACAGTTCATAATCCCAGAGAACCTAAACAACAGAAAGGACCCTAAGAGAGGCATACATGAATCTAATCTACATGGGAGGTATAAAAAGACAAGCTCTCCTGAGTATATTGTGAGCATGGGGAGCATGGGATCATGGGATCATGGGAGAGGGTAGGAGGGGAGGGAAGAGGAAGAGGAAAGGAGAGGAACGGAGAAAAATATATAGCTCAATAAAAACAATTTAAAAACAAACAAATAAGCAAGCAGTTTTGAGATTCCTAAGGCCCAACTTAAGCATGTGCTAGCACTAACCCCACCTGAATCCTTTTTCACATCATCACTTCACTTCCTAAAATCTTCCCCAGGGTTCACTTGCTTTGCTTTCTGCTTGAAATAGTCTTGCCTAAACTTGACATGACTAATACCTCTTTATCCTTTAATTCTAAGTTCAAACATCATCTCTACAGTAAGGCCAGCCCCACCACGCTATCCAAAATAGGATAGCTACTTGGTATCATCATCTCTTCAGCATCTTGCTTGCTTCAGAACACATCTACATTACTTTATGTGAATTTACTCAATTTAGTACCACAAAAATAAGAATCATCTATTATCCCCCACTACAATCCCTGATGTCTATCACAGTTTCTCACATTTAAGTAATATTTTGATATCCCCAATAGTCCTATCCTCATACATATTATTCCCTTGGTTAATATCATCACTGTCACTTACCACCATCACTACTCTTACCCCTTTAGGGCTCTCATTCATCCTGAAATTAAAACACTCTCTCCCTAAAGCCTTCTCTTGACACTCTGTCCCGCCCCAGGGTAGTCAGTCTCACCTTCACTCGAGCACCTAGTCATTACTGGCAGCCCTGCCACTATAGCAATTATATTGGATTATGACTAAGATTTAGGGGGAGAATGCAGGGTGCTTTTATTTTGTAGTTGTGTCTACTACTTTAGAAAGCCTTAGCACAAAAGAAAAATCTTTTCATTTTTGTACCCCTAGTACTTGCATACTATCAGGCACAGTATCACTGTAATTGATAACAGCTAACATTTATTAAGTGTTTAATGTGTGCTTGACACATCTTGGTTCTGAAGTAAGAGGGTAAATGAATTAATGGATTCCTCCAACACCAACCTCAAGGAGGTCAGTTCAATGTGGACAGCCGAATAACATATGGGCTAATGCAAACACCATAAGGCCAAAGGTGTTGGCCTACCCTGTACCTAAGCCTTCAAATTTTAAAGTATGCCTTTCTCAGAGTCCATTAATGTCAGGTTTCTTCAAACTCATTTAAAATACTTCCTTCCATTACTTACAACCCACTTCCTGTACTTGGTGCCTGGAAGCAATTTCTAGGATGTCACCACAAGCAATATAAAACTGCCTCACGGTTTCCTGCTGTGCATCTGCATTATCAGTTAAACTGCCCCATATTGACCACATTCCAGTCCACTGAGATAACTCAAACACTAAATAAGATTTAAACATATCTGTCCAAGAATGTCAGTTACCACTGCTCTTTTATGTCTCTAGAAAAATAACTGCTTGGCTGACAGTTTAGGTCTCCAGTGAACTACCTAAATACTGATCACCCCTTTTTGTCACTTGCATCTGACCTTAAGCCTATGAACTTCCACTCTCTCATGTGAAAACAATGGTTAATAAATCGCACCAGTGGACAGCTGTAAGGGTTTTATGAAATGAATCACATTAAACATTACCATGGTGCCCGACAGAGACTCCTCCAGCAGCCTCAGCTTGCCAAGTCTCAACAGTAGTAACACACATGCTTTATCACTGATCTTAACTCCAGTTTCACAATTACAGACAGTATGGTTTTTTTAATCAACTTTTATTTTTTTAATACTGTTACACTGTTAAGTCCTGCTCTCCAGAAGAACATTAAAAGTTTGTTTTCTGTTACCTGAAACATGTCTTTCTCTGATATTTCTGGTATAAAATACATCTGATATTCTTTATCACTTGATAAGAAGATGTAGAACAATCACTTAAGTTCCTAATATGGGCGTGGAAATCACATTGACCCTGTGTTTACTGTTCATAATAATCCTGCAGGTCCCTTCTCCCCTAGGAAAATCCAGATTCACAGATATACTGTTTCATAGTCAGCATGAAAAAGAGCTGGAACTTGCCAGGTGGTAGTGATGCATGCCTTTAATCCCAGCACTTGGGAGGCAGAGGCAAGTGGATTTCAGTGAGTTCAAGGCCAGCCTGGTCTACAAATTGAGTTCCAGGACAGCCAGGATGGTTACACAGAGAAACCCTGTCACAAAAAAAACAAAAAAAGGCAGGGTGGGGGGAGCTGGAATTTGAACCCAGATCTGATGTACACTGTCCTTGTAATGGCACAAGGTATCAGAGATAAATAAAGAAAATACAGATTGCTTGGGGGAGCCTAGAGATTGCTCAGTCTGCCCCCACTCTCCTATCCACCTACTTACTTGTGGAGCCTGCACACTCAGCTTCCACCTCAGTCAGGTAAACACCTTGAACACTTTGATCCGCGTGACAGAATGGCCAGTAGCTACCAAGGCCATTTTCTCCAATGACAAGGGTGGTACCTAAACTGACTGTTCTCTCACCACCTGCCCATCCATACTCCTAACTGGGGATAGAATGGCACAACTCACTATAAATCACAACTACTTTTCATAACTTCTACATTCATACTCTTTCAATCTTACCACAAGTTAACATATTTCCCAGGCCTTTTTTCTTTTTCTTTTAACCACTGAGGAGTCAACTTTGAGGATCAATAAGGCCATTCTTCATACTAATTTCACACTTAATGCAATTTCATGCCTTGATAAATTCCCTTACTCAAGTGCTCCCATATTACAGTGATATATTCCACAAAACATACTTAGGAAACATACTTGTCAACGTGTTCCTGTCAAAAGCATGAGCACATGACAGCTAGTCAAGTGAACTTCTGCTTGTCTATTTTAATGTTCACTTGAACACTTGATGCAACCGGGCAAATCTCTAACTCTGGAACAAGAAAGGTAAGCATCACTACGCTCTCTCTGCAGCTCTGAGGTGACTTTGTGCAAAGTATTTCTATGAGCTATTGACATCCAAGTTTACAGCTCTTACTTGGGAGCTAGAATTTGGCTTGGAGTACCAACAGTTCACAGACTACATCATTTTACCTCCCCAGAGTCTCAGATTCCTGTTTGGGCTATGTTCTAACCCCTTCCTCCATTTTCTATAAAGACAAAAGTCATTTTATACCTCCACATTAATTTTCTAAGCAAACTTTTCTAATTTCATTCAGCAGTTGTCATAGGGCTTTTAAACACAGACTAGACACCTTTGGTAAATGAGAAACCTAACTGCTGAAGAGACTGAAGAGTCGGGCAAGGGTCACACTGCATGGGCATCACCAGGACATGAGATGCAATGTTTGAATAATTATTTGATTTTTGACCTTGAAGCCCTTCCTCTTCCAAACTTCCCTTGCACAATTCTCAAAATGCTGAAATAAACACATTCAACCGACTTTCCCATAAGAGATTTATGGTGTCTTGTGAATGCTGGTTTCTCAAAAAGTCTATGCTGTCAACTTTCTTTATAAATTTCCTTAAGCAATGGAGAAAAGGTGAACATTTGCTAATGATTAGAGAGAGATAAAACATCTGGGGCTGGGGAAGGGCGTGGCCAGAAGAGGGCTTGGCTGTGAAGGGAGATACAGTCCAAAGTAACACATCCAAATTGAACCACATAAAAGTTGCACTTTCCAAAGTCAACTTCCAAGTCTAGAGGAAGCCAACAATGTTTCAATGGGTTCTGAAGTTACAAGTATCAACAATCTGACCAGAAAAGGAAGCCTCAACCAGGGACTCCCAAGTAATTGAAGGAGTGAGGGAATTGCCAGATTGGATTACAAAACCTTTTCAAAATCAGGTACTCAGTTATAACCCAAAGACATCTTCCTTCATAGCCCTTGCTTGTGCGGAAACTCAAGAGGAAGAAATGGCAAAAGGCCTTCCTCTACAGGCCATCCAGCCTTTAAATCCACCAGGGCCCCCCTCCTTCTAAGAACCTCAAACCACTTCTGTAATAGCTACAGGCCTCAAGCAGTCAAGTTTCAACCTCTCAAAACCTGTCAGCTCTCAGGGTCGCCCCAAACATACCCAGGTGGGAACTTACTTCCGGGGATCTCCTTCCTCCCAGTAGCTGTACGACCGTTTTCTGGGGTACATCCCGCAGAGGGAGCCTCCTCGTCATGTCAGCGGTTCCCGCTCTCAGGTGAGGAGAGGACATCTCATCACCCGCGACCCTCCACCGCGTACGCACCCCGTCACTGAGCCTCCCGCATCCCCATGGCAACCATCCCCCTCCCAAATTGACGCGTGCACGCGGGGCGCCCCTCCGGTCTCGGCAACAAGTCCCCCAGCGCGGCCCGCGGCCTGCAGCTCGAGCCCGGCCTCGCCTCCCTAGCGCCCAGCCCGGCCCGGCTCCGCCCGGAGGCACTCACTTGATCCTGGAGCCCATGGTCCCGGGGCCTCCTCATGGACCGGCGGGCCCCGCTCGGCGCTTCGCTGGCAGACCGGCCTCCCTCCGGCGCTCTCTCCGCCCCTTCCTCCCTTTCCTCAGGCAGGAGCCCGCCCGCTCGAGGGTGGCTCCCTCGCTGCCGCTGCTGCTGCTGCCGCCGCCTCCCGGGATTAAAGTACTCGCTCCTGCCGGGAGAACACCATGGTCGCCGGCGCGCGTACTCTGAGCGCGCCACCCGCACCGACTCTCACACCGCCGCCCCCGCCCGCCCGCCCGCGCAGCCGGCCGCGAGGGCTACTGGGAAGTGTAGTCCGTTCGCGTGAGGTTGGCCTCGGGGGCTGGAAGCGTAGCGGCACCTGAGAGGAATGGATCTTCACTAGAAAGAGAAATAGAGATTTCTGTCCCGCTGCTCTCTGGCAGAATCCACCCAAAACGCCCTGAAGAAACTTCCATCGTGACCTCTGAGACTACTGAAGAAGCCTTTATCCACGCCCCTGTGGAGTCCTCTTGCCAGGCCGAAACTTGGGGTGTCTGAATTTGAGGGAGGCATTTGTCCTTCCCTTACATATGCTTTAACTCAAGAACCTACGGCGACTCCACTTTCACTAAGTAAGATTTCGGGGTTATTGTCTCCTGACTTCGAAGAAAGAAGTCCACGGATCATGGAGGTTTCCCTGTAAAGAGTTTTTAAACATCCATACGATACGAGCTTGAAAGAAAACAGAGCCTGCCCGTCCCAGGAAACAGGGTAGCATCTAGCTGCCTGCCAGGTGCTGTGGATGAGTTAGAGGTGTCTCCACTCGGTTTCCAAGTTTCCGGTAACTCGACAAAGATAAGAAATAACAAGCAGCCAGAACTCTCCTGGTACTCCTGGCCTCCAGCAGGGACATTCTAGGAAGTTCCTATCTCCTTTACCTGGCCTGTTTCTATCTTCTGTTCTGTTTATCCCCACCTAGCAGCTTTGGCATAGATGTGGGGTTTCCCCTCAGAACTATACCTTCCTGTGAATTTCATACAGATCTTATCTGTCACACCATCTACTTCATGCCCTGGTTTCCTCTTAATCTTTCCTGTTCAGACCTATAACTCATACTTACAGGAAATCCACCTGGAAAGGTTGTAGGACCTGTGATGATTAATATTCTCAACTTGACAGGATCTAGAATCATATTTTGAGAATTCCTTCCCTGGGGCTATGAAACCAAAGTCTAGCCCCTCCTTAGAAGGTCCCAATAACAAACCAGTGTGTAAGTCCACCAAAGTTCAACCTAGGGAACCAATGAGTTTTTTGGACTGACTTATAAAACATGAGTGAGGGTTGTTTTCTGGAGTAAGCTGCACTAGAAAGTGCCTCCCTAGTGTGAGTGATAGCTTTCCCATAGACATATATGTAATTTTCTTTTGATAACTCCTATAGTCTACTACAGTCTGTGTACTCCAATGCTGCCCCAGAGGCCCAGTGCAATGTGCAGTCAGAATAGATTGCATACAAATGGCTGAGAGGAGCAGGTGAGTTCTCTGGTGTGAGGCCGGTGGCCCTCCCAGCCCTCTGACTCTGAGGAACTGCTAACAGTCATCAGGCCTGCTCTTGATCATTTGCAAGCAGCACAGCTGATGTGAAGATGGAAGCTATTTTGCTGGGAAGACCAGGTTCTACAACAAATCAGTGGAGTGAGAAAGCTCTGGGACTATGAGGGTGCTCCTAGATTTGTTTAGTTCAGGAGGTTAGTCCAATTCCATGGGGTGAATTCAAAGGAAAAGGGAAGCTACAGGGCAGCCTTTGTCTCTCCCTTCACCCTGACTGTAGATTTCTTGTAAGCAGCTGCCTCATGCTCCTGCTGCAATGCCTTCCCCACCATGTTATACTGTACCCTCAAACTGTGAGCCAAATCAAACTTTTCCTAAGTTGGTGGTGGTTTTGGTTTCTTTCTTTGATATGTTTTGAGACAGTGTCTCACAATCCAGCCCTAGTTGGCCAGGAACTCACAGAGATCCACCTGTCTCTGCTTCCTGAGTGCTGGCACTAAAGGCATGTACCACATCTGGCCTTAAAGGCATGCACCACCACATCTGGCCTTAAATTGCTTTTGTCACAAAAAAAGTAATACAGGATCTGTAGGGTGGCTCAGCAAAGGCCCCTGCTTCCTTTATTGGTCATTATGAAGACACCAGTACTGAAACTTCCTCTGATCACAACAGTCCCTGTCAAAAATTAATAAAAAAGAAAATACTTGGGAGCCAGCATCATCAAGCTACTACCTGTCCCTGCCGGGCCCCCAAAAGACTCACTTTCATGAATCCCAGTTCCATATCCTCTAGGCCTGGATGGACCACAAAGGAGAAAATAGTGACACATTCATTTAGTGATGGCATGAGTGCATGCCCTTTATGAATTAGGCACAGTATTCCCCAGGCTTGTTCGTGCCAATTCTCATGATACTCCTGGGAATGTGCCCTCCCAATTTGCAAAGAGGAAACTGAGGCATATTCCCCAGGTGATACAGCTAACCACTAGTGAAGCCAAGATCAACATCAGTGTTGAATAATTCCAGACACATGACAGACCTACTTATTTATTCTTGAGGATAACACTCTTAAACACAAGTCAAATGTCATAAGTTCACAGGGTCCCTTTTAGTACTGGACTTTCCTTTTTCTTCCTTGCCTCCTTCAATTTCCTCTTTTGAAATACCATTCATCCCTTCTACCATTTTAACCCTTATTCATCCATAAAAGTGTCTCCCATTTTACACGTATCTCATAGTCACTACAGTAACATCCTAGCCCTCAGCCAGACAGGGAGGAAAGAAAACACAATGTAGAAAAACTCCTTCTTTGGGAGTTACCTCCTGTTAAAAATAAGATCTCCCTTTTGTCTATACCTTGAGATTGTTGAAAGTCAAAGGGTGAATTTTTTTCAAATAAAAAAATAAATGAAATGTCCAAACTGCCATTTCGAATTCAAAGTCTTTGCACCCAGACAGCAACACTGCCTTATAAATACACCCAGGAGCAGTGTTCTGCTAGACAGGTGGGGCCTCCACATGTTTACTCACTGTGTTTGCTATGAAACCTCTCCAAGGAACAGCTGTTATCAAGATCTTCTCTAGAATGAGCAGTCAGTTCAAAAGCTCTGTGCAGGAGACTATAAATAAAACAAAGTTATTTGGTGGAGGGCAAAAGTTGGCTGCTTTTCAAAGAAGACTGTAGCCAACCTGGCCACAAAAATGTCTGAGTGCCTACTGGGTGGTTGTGTGTGTGTGTGTATATATATGTGTATGTTGTGTGTTGGAAGGGGTGGCAAAAGGTGGGGCTTACGTATCTGCCCAGGTGGCCTCTAGACAACAGGGTGGTCTGGGGAAAGTGCACAGAGTGGGAGTTGGGAGTCTGGCCTATTTGCAGCCCTGTGAATTTAAGCAAATAATTTTGCAATCATCTGTTTCCACTTCCTTCTCTGTAAAACAGGTAGAGAGGATAAGGAGGTGCTCAATTCATAAGACAGTCTGTGATATAGGAGCCAACAGTATAGGAACTTGAACCAGGCTACCTGGATTTGAATCTCACTTCTACCTCTTACAACATATGTGAACTTGGACTAGTTTTATCGAATCTCTCAATATCTTAGTTCTTTGTAAAATGAGAGTGATAATAATATCCTATAGTAAGTGACGATGAGAATTAAATTAGTGACAATAAAGTATGAAGTGACTAGCATGTTAAGTAAACACTCAAAAATTATTGGCAACTAGTATGTACAAAACTCTAAGTGCAGTTTAAAGTTTATTTTCATTTGTTAGTTTGCTTGATTGCATTGCTGGGAAATAAACTCAGGGTCTTATACTTACAAGCACTCTATTCCCAAGTTATACACCTCGCCCTGACATTTGTTATTAATAGTAATAAGCATAATAAGGATTGGGAGAATAGTTCAGTTAGTAAACTGCTTACTTGGCAAGCATGAGGACTTTAGTGTGATTCGCAGGATCCATGTTTAAACAACAAAAAAGTACATGTCAGGCATAAAATGTGCTGGGGAGGAAAGCTTGGCCATTCCCTAGAGCTAGATACCTTCTAGACCATTAGAGACCATGTCTCAAAAAGCGTGGATGGTGCCTGCGGAATGACATTTGAGGTCACCCTCGAACCTACCACACACATGCACACACGCATGCATGCACGCCTTTGGACACACATGCTCACACACAGAGAAACATAATAGTTCTGTTCTTGTGTTCAGGATCCAAGAATTCATAACCCTCCTTTACAGTTTATATTCTGTTAGTTTCAATTCATTTCAACTGTAAAGGATAGAAATCAGAAATAACAGTAACTGAAACAAAAAGTAGAAACTTATTTCTTTTCCATGTAAGGTGTTAGAAATGAATATTACAGAGCTAAGATTCCTTATCTTCACTGCTCTAGAATTCCATTTTGCTGCTCTTAGTCTACAAATGCGTCTTCCACCTTATCATCCAGGCTGGCTACTTGAACTTGAGCTATCAACCTGCAACCCAGAAGAAAGAACAACATACCCACCCCAAACTCTGACCTGCGGACATACTTCCAAGAGCTGCTCACACCACTTCCATGTTTGTCCCTCAGCCCAGAGCCTAGTCACAAAGCCTCAACTTACCGGGAAATGTAGTCTTTATTCCAGACAGTCATGTGCACAGCTGAAAGCAGGAGTAGCATTTTCAAAAAAACAAGGGGAGGCAGATACTGCAAGATTGCCAGTGTTGGTGGTGTTTGTTTTTGTAACCTTGGACAAGACGCTGACTTTCTCCAGGTCTGCTTCCCCAAACTCAAAAGATCAAGCCAGGGTCTCTTCCCAAAGTGATTTTTATTTCTAAGATTGTACAATTCAGTGTCTCGCCGTTTTCTATAATTCTTTTATATGGTGTCATTCAAATAAAATGAGATCTCCCTGCCAAGGACATGGCATAATGATTGTTAGAATTAAAATCTTCCAGTGAGAAGAGGACTGGAAACTTTGCCACCCAAATTGTTATTAAAATAGGCTCACTAGGTGAATAGAACAGATAAAAAGTCACAGTAGGGTGTGATTCCTCCTGTACTGATGTTCCCATACACCAGAGTTTCCATGCTTTGCCTCAAAGAACCTTGCCTATTTGTTTTTCCGCTGAGGACTTAGGTAGCTGTGTTAGTAGAGGGCCTTCACATAGCTACTATGCACCCTAATTATACAATATTAAATGGCAGAATAAATGTTCTATGAGTCAGGACTCTG